TCACAAATAAAATGCTTTCAAACACTCTGATTATATGCTCTGCCTTTCCATAATCTGGATAATGTATAAAATGTAGTTGTATAATGTGTTTAGGCTCACAGATTAACCATAAAACCCAGTAAAAAAGTTACTCGGTGAAGCAAACAGTACGCCTGCCTCACGGCAGAGGGCGCTAGTGAGCCCACAGATTCTTGCGCTACCTACAATCTTCTTCGTGCTTGTTTATATTTCCTTTACGCCTTATCAAAATGGAAGATTACATTTCCAAGATGAGAAAGTTCGCAAATCTGGACTTTCAGTCAAAACATTTTAGACAGTCTGGACATTTTTGTCCAGAAGGATCTTCTTTATTGAAAACATTTGTTTTAATATTGGATTCGAACCGTAAAAGGGTTTGTAAAACATACCAGCTGACAAATGGGTTTCGTGTACCAGTAAAGGTAAGACCATAAACTTTTATTATTTCTAGTTAGAAATAAGCTCAACTGGAATAAATTTTAACCTCAAATTAAATATGGGTCACGTTTGTGTGAAGAATGCTGATATGAGATATAAAACATAACACATTGTCTGTTAACAGACAATTTGTTAACGGTTCATTTGTATTTGTAAATCTGACTGTAAAACAGTCAAGTGCCTCACCAGCTGTCAACCTCACCGCACGTCACTGATCTTTACCCATGATTATTATTATCATTATTGTTATTATTGTTGTTATTATGGTTAGAGTTGCTGTCATTGCGTGCTATTTTTAGATTTTATTTCCATGGTTCTAAACATTGCTTTTTCAGAATTGGGCAGTTGTTTGGGGAACAAGAGACATTAGGAGCACTCTGGCCTAAAAGAAGAAAAAGACAAGGAGCGGAGAGTGAAAGAAAATGAAGAAGAAACAGTTACTGAGTGTTATTAAATTAAATGAAAATCCCATCTTATTATGTTATGCCAGTTTTTATAGTTCTGTTTTACAGATATAGCAAATAAGACCTGTTGAAAAGAGAAATAACTAAATAAGAACAGTGCTTTTATTTGCTGCAGTTGATGACAATCTACTTTTTGAGCCATTAAAGAACTGTGGCAGGTTTGACTCTGTTCTACACTTTTAATGTCTGTAAATACCCAACACAGGATTAATTGTTATTGATACATTTTTTATTTTGCAGAATGATTTCAAGTGTTTGAGCCAGATTGGGGTGTCAGAAAACTGTTTTTTCCTTTTGGACAACTCAGTGAAATCAGTTCATTTCATCGTGCCAAGCAAATTCAGTCTCAAGAGTATTTAAAAGAATTCATGCTGTTTTTTTGCCGTCTGGTGCAGTTGTGTGTAAGTAAGTATTCAGTCTGTTCAAACCTTACCTGAGAATGGATAGCGTGTTGTCTGACTATCCTGATTGGCTGCTACACTCAAACAGATGACTGCCTTTTCATTACTACTCCAACCATTCCATATGATAATATTGTGATTCTTCTGTATGACAGAATCAGGGTTAGACTCAAATGCAGATCCAGTTAAGTCTTAGTTCACCCTGTGTTCAAGTGAATTAAAACGTGTGAATTCAAAAATTGCCTGCTTTTATTTCACTTTATGGATCCTCACATGCACACACTCATAAACAAAGACATATTTTGTAGCTGGGCCAAGTTTTCTTCCAAGCTAATCAACTAAAGGCCTGTGTAAAGCCACAGGGGCTGTGGTTTCTAATCTGTGCGTGGGGAGTGACAGTAATTCACACAGAAATACAGCCAATGCTCTCGGAGTGGCTCGCTCTTTCTCCTGTCCCACATGATTAGAGCTACTGGAAGCTGCAAAGTCCCACTTTACCCAGCGGACATCAGAAACTGTACGCTTGTCCTTAGAATGAGTCCCACTGTGGCGAACTCTGTTTCAGATGCAATATATGAAATTACGATGTAGAAAATGGCTCTAATGTGGCAGTGGTGGAAGAAGACTTTACAGTACGTTACAGTACCAGTACATCCATGTAAAAATACTCGATTACATATCCTGCATTCAAAACCTTACTTAAGTATAAATACTGAATTATCAAAAGCACATTGTATCTGAAGCATCAACTGTAATGTGCTTGTTCTGCAGTAAAATGCGCCCTGTGGCTGACAGACTATATTAAATCATTACGTTTTTAACACTGATGCATGACTGTGTAAGCAGCAGTTTACTGCCACAGCTGCTCAAGGTGAGAAATGACAGTAAAAACTACCACCCAGAGCCCAGCAGAGTAGCATCAGGTCTCCTCTGTCGGAGGAGGAAATGTCCTCCTTCCAAACCAGATCCAGTCAGTCGTCCTCATGAAGTCATTCAGTGACCTAGAGCTGGAGCCATGAGTCGGTTCACTGGTAGAAAACTAACCGGGAGGTATTTAGAATCAAAAGTCAGTGACATGTTCTGGTTCCACCTTTTTTAATGTGAGGAGCTGATGCTTTTCTTTGTCAGACATATTCAGGGTTTTCCTTTAATCTACCACCCACCTGTAGTTTTACACAGTGTAGTGAGTCCTAACCTAGGGCTCCAGACTAAAAGCTCACAAAGATAACTGAGGAGTCATTAAACCATTAATGAAAAAGACAAAGTTATGTATCTTTTTTCAGTGTTTTCTAATCTTTGCATTTTTTTTGAAATATTAAACAATTTATTTTGGCCTCAAACTGTTATTTTACTGAAACCATCTGAAAAGTCTCTTTGGTAAAATAGTTTAAAACATGACCCAACCAGGTCATAAACTACTGGGACACTTTACTTTTTTCATGTAAATCTTAATTCATAAAGTTACTAGTAGCTATATTTGTCAGATAACTGTAGTGCAGTAAAATATCATATTTCCACCTGAAATGTAGTGACATAGAAGTATGAAGTAGCACATGATATAAATACTCAAGTAAAGTACAAGCGCTTAATTACTTTCCACCACTGAGCAGTGGAATTATCTGGTAGGTGTCTAAGTTCACTGGCTGCAGAAAACTGTCAAATTCTGGTTTATTTACTGTCAACAAATCCCATGAAAAGACCAAAAGCGACGATGCTTTAGTGCATCTTACAGTACTGTGTGACCCTACTGCGACAGGCAGTCCGAAGCCCATTCATTCCTACCAGATCAGAGATGTAGGCTGCACGCTGACTTAAACAAAAAGCTAAGTAATTTCCTAAAACAGTCGGGCCTTGTAGTTTTTAGCAAATGTTACTAAAACAGGAATAAACTGTGTACTTGTTAGGGACTACTTCATCCATGCACTCGGTGGAGTGGTGAGCAGGAGAGTGGGTATGTGTGTGTGAAATCAATTCATATTCAGTCATCGATTAATAAAGTTCAGAGAAAGTGACTATTTGTTTTGGCTGAACCAGCCAGTATCAGACTAATTCACAACACAACTCTGTGTGCGGCTCCACCAAACATTAATCTCCAACCAACCAAAGACTGATTTAACAAATTTTCTCTATAGTCTGCAGCTGCAGTTTTTCTGCTCCTTTCACACTCCACAACATTCTTATTCATTTTTATTCCACAGCTCTTAGTTTAGAAACCCCTGGAATTAGAGTGTTAATAGACACAACATCCAAATCCAGTGCACTTTAATGACGCGGTCTAACTCATACTGCCATACGGCCTTACGCTGTGCTCAGACCGACCTGACTGCTCTCAGCCCTGACATGCATTTGAACAGGAGGGTGGCACAGCGGGGGCGTCAGCCACCTCTGGAATGCCCAGAAGGCATCATTCGGCTAAAAAGTCGAACCAGTCTCAGCTTTCTGCTGCAACACAAATCGGCATAATCCAGCAAGGCTCGGCTGGCCAATCAAACACATTCCTGGTGGATTTCTGTGTAATGTGAAGACTGTATTTCGATTGTTTACCTCACAATCACCGCAATGAAAGACTGCCACTGGTGTAACTCTCCACAGTTGCACAGCTTGTCTCAGAGTATCACAAACTCTTGTGCACCGTTTTGGTGTCTGATAAGCCTTTGAACACATAAACACGTTACTCCAAATGGACTTACTGTTTTGTATTTCATGTCTCACTAAAACGCAGCCCCCTGTGCTGTTTTAACATAGGTCTGAATCTCCACTTACCCATCAGAACAGTCAGCAGTGCCTCTGGCTCCAGAGACTGAAGCTGTGGCTTTTCAGCTGCAACGCTTGGGTGAAAAAGATTTTTTATTTTAATTGGTGACTTTGAGAGACTACTGAGACACAACTCAAATTTTAAACAAGACAGAAAAAGAAGAGTTGAGATTGACATGTCAATCAGAAACCACAAGGCCTCGTGAAAATCAAGTATAGAAGTCAAATAAAATAGCTCATCTGACGGGCTACCTCAGCACAATCAGCTACACAACGCAGCACACACACACACACAAACTGCTACTGCCTCCCTAATGAGTTTAAACTCTGATGAGGTGTGGCAGGGCAGAACAATCTTGGTGTTTAACCTGCCACTAGGGGTTGGGTCAAGCATTTTGTGTGTCAGTCTGATGGACTCCTTCAGTAAACAATAGAGCCTAAGTGTTGGTGATGAGCTGAGGGTCAAGGTCTTCCTGCTGCAGCACTTTCTGCTCAGCTTGTCTTCTCTCCCTAAATCAGCTCATGCTGTGACTCTGCCACTGTGGGATAATTACACCTGCTGAGATACACTGATGTCTCCCCATGCCTTCGTCCACAATAGCCTGTCTGCCCGTCTCCCTACTGTATGCTTCTGGTGGCTGACAAGGCTAGAACTGGGCTTTGCCAGCTACCCGCAGAATGACAGGAAAGAGAGAACGGAGTGGCTGTTCAAGGTCTCT